AAAAAAAAAAAAAAAAAAAATTACCAGATTTTCACTTACCTAAGTTAAAAGTTTGGAATAGCAGTTAGCAGTCATATGTTTCTTGACTCTCTAAGCACTCATTATCTAAATGAAAAGTCCAGTGCCCATTCCAGAGTTGTAAATAGCATGCATAGTGCTGTATTTGGTGAAACACAGCAGAAAAGCCTTATCATTTGGAGTTTTTCAGGGAGTTTACAAGTAGCAAGAACAATCCAGCATCTCTGATTGGAGTGTATTTTATTAAAGGAAAAGTACAGTATTTCTTTATTGCAGAGAACGCTTTGTGTATAAAATTCAGATGAACTTGGGAATGGAGTAGTATTCTGGTACAGTGCAGTGTTTATTAAAATGTGAGGTGGGAACTACCTCCATCTGACTCCTTTGTGGTACTTACCAAAAATGCAAGTTCTTGTGCCTCATTCTCAGTCTGCTTTCATCAGAATTTCTGTGGATGGAATCTGGGAATCTAATTTTTAAATAAGCTCTGTAGGTGATTGTTGTAAAGAGTAGAGATTGAGACACTTGAGTTGGAATACTGGGCATTGGAGATTAGAACCAAGAAATTGAGTGTCATATTCACATACACTACTGAATTGTATGAGGTGGTTATGTTTTAGAAAATCAAGTTTTTATATTTGGATTTGGCTTCTTATTTGTAAAGTGAGAAAATTGGAATAGATGAATGTTTTCTTCATTTTTGAAAAGTGATTGACACAAGCTTTTGGTTTTAGAGAACTAAGCCTTAAGTGAATTTTTTTATACAAAGTCAATAAAAGCTGGCCTGCTCTCCTCTATTCTTCCATCCGTTTGTCCCATAGTGGCCCCTGTTATACCTGTGTGGAAATTCAGCTCCATGAAACACTGAAGCCCATTGGACTAATTAATCATTAAATTTTCTTCTATTGTTAACATTCTGCAATTTTAATAAAAACATTGGCATTTTAATTGTACAAAATAATGGTCATTAAAGTGAAGGACAATACATGATAATAGAAAAAATAAGGCTTTTGTGAAGGACTGTCTCAATATTTATGATATTTTAAGATGAGTATCCTATTATGTGAAAATAGGGACAGTGGTTGACAGTTTCTTGCACAAGAAAGTTGAAATTATAGGGAATGGTACGGGGTGGTTTATGCTTCTTATTATGTTTTCCAATATTAAGAATTTTGCTAGAAAGAATGAAAGGAAAAAGAACATCTAGGAAAGAGGTGTTCTTAAGGCAATGGTTTCTAAAGTTATTCTTCTCAACTCCCCACCTTTTAGACTTTTGCCACATCTAAATATATGCTTAGTATTTCAGTATTTTCTATTCTTTTTCTTTTAGAGATAGGGTCTCACTCTTTCACCCAGGCTGGAGTGCGGTAGTTTCATCACAGCTGTCTTCAGCCTCAAACTTCTAAGTTTAAGGAATCCTCTTGCCTTAGTCTGGCGATTAGCTGGGATTACCACTGTGTGCCACCATGTCTGGCTGATTTTTCTATTTCTTTGTAGAGAAGAAATCTTACTCTGTTGCTCAGGCTGGCCTTGAATTCCTGGCCTCAAGCAATCTGGCTTCTCAAAGTGCTGGGATTACAGGCATGAACCACTATGTCTGGTCCCGTATTTTCTTAAATGTGTTAACTTAAACAAAAACTTTCACCTCTTCCTACGCATGATTATTAGTGAAGTATCATGGTGTTTTTTTTTTTTTTGTAACTTACAGTTTTCTCATACACATTAAAAATTATGTAATTATTAAATAAAAAGCTTTATATATGTAATACTTACAGTTTTCTTTTGTACCACCAGTTATACACATATCACATAGGATAGTTGTTCCTAACATGCAGAAGGTAAAGAGACCAATGATCAGTTTTAGCAGTGAAACAGAAAACCTTTTTTTTTTTTAAGAGACAGAGTCTCACTTTGTCACCCTTGGTAGAGTGCTGTGGTGTCACAGCTCACACCAACCTCCAGCTCTTGGGCTTAGATGATTCTCTTGCCTCACGCTCCCGAGTAACTGGGACTACAGGCGACCGCCACAATGCCCGGCTGTTTTTTGTTGCAGTTTGGCCAGGGCTGGGTATATGGGGCTGGCACCCTACTCACTGAGGTTATAGGCACCGCCCGAGAAGCAGAAAATCTTTTATAAATAAAAAAGATTTATGAAGTGAGATTCTTGAAAATTAACAGCTCATTAATTTTGTTATTCTAGTTTTCATGTTTTTACCTTTGAATACTTTTAAAGGTGTTTTCTTACTTTCTAATTGGCACCTTACAAAAAACCACAATGAAGTAAACTTTTCTGATGAGGCATTATTATATTAAAAGACTTTTGCTCACTAGTGCTTGCTGACATTAAGAGAATGTTTCTGAAGATGAATTTTTTTGCTTTTTGACTTAGAAAATGCAGTCATGACATCAGGCTCAGTAAGGCAAATAGTATAATCAAACTAAACTATTCCATCTTTTAAATTTAAGATGTACTTAACAAATTTAATGCATCATTAAAGATCGACTTTATTCCTTAGACATCAATATTCTGTTTCTACTTTCTTTTGAATAATAGCTGAAGTTTGGGATCAGGAGTTTGACCCCGTCATGGTCATTCTTCGAACAGTTTACCGTAGAGATGTACAGTCTGCAATGGACAGATACACTGCATTGTAAGTCTATCAAGTTGATTTCATAGTGGATTATTTTGTATTTATGTAGAAAAACTTCAGTTATAACAGAAGTATGATATGCTCTTATTAAATTATACTCTGAATCTTTAGAGGTGAAAGTAATATTTAAAGATTAAAAAAAATAATCTGGCTGAGATTTATATTCTCCAGATCTTTGTCCAAAATTTGATGTTAATCTGATAGAAATAAATTTTATGGAACATGATCTCTAAATCAAAAAATAGAAATTTATTTAGTTGCATTTTGATTGATGGAATTAAAGGCTTGGCTTTGTGTTGTTCTACTTTTGAACCAGTAGAGGAGGCACAAAGTAAGAGAATAAAATTGTGTGACAAGAGAAATGGTGATAGGTGTCTGTTAAAAAGTGCGAAAATATTGTTATGTTCTTGGCAACTGAGAAAATAGCCAAAGCAAAATGAATTTTACTTGTAAACATTTAACAAAGTAGTTTATAATGTTGAAGACTGCAGAAATTAAAAGTTTTGAAGGATATCTTTTTAAATGAATTTGATTTTGTATGTTATTGTAAGTTGTAGACTATTTTTAAATGTATTTTCCACCTCTTTAAAATCTTAGTTGTTAACTTATATTGTTAAAAATCATAGCATATTGTCTTGTATTTGTGCTTTTCTAAAGCTTAATTTAAACCTTTTAAAAACAAATTTTAAAAGAAAGAAATGTCTTTGATTGTGAGAAACTGTCCAGGTGATATCAAAGTAATTATACATACTAGGTGTAATTGAAACTTTTCTTTTGCTGAGACATTGCAGTAATGGATGCATGTTGAGTTGAAGGTCCATTACAGACAAACATCTGAAGAAAGTTTGTTATGTGGAATTTTAACTGCGCTCCATGCCCTCAAACAAAACAAAACAACTTAAAAACAAACAACCAGCCAACCCAGTTCAGCTATCAGGATCTCTCCCTGTTTTCTCTAAATCTTTGGGGCAATATGGTCTGAGATTCTCTTTCTCTGCTTTCTTAGCCATCTCTTTTTATGCTTTTCACGTAATTTTGAAATACTTTGATTACTTTTAGGCTTTTATTAAACTTTCAGCTGCTTGTGGGAAGAGAGTTTTGTCTATCTCTTTTACATTTCAGTACCTAAGTGCTGGCACATAGTAGACATTCAGAATGTATTTGTTGAATAAATACATGAGTTGAAAATTTGAAAAAGTGAATGGTAGGAAGCATTTACATGGAAAAACTAATGCAGACTTTATAAACATTGTTGTCTTAAGTGGCTTTGCCTTTTTTTCAGGGTGGTGGTGGTATTTTGTCATTTTGATTATATAAGAATTAAATATATAGTCAATTTTATTCTTCTCTTTTACTTTGTAACTGATAGAAATTTGGACTACAATTGGGCAGAAATTTTCAAAGCTTTCAAGGAGTCATTAAATAATTAAACAATTTTAGAGGAGAAATTTTATTTAATAGCATACATTTATTGAGTGCTTGTTGTATGCCAGGTACTGTTAAAAAAACTGAATTGTTTCTTTTATTTTTCCCTTAGCAGACTTTTCATTTAGCTTGGAACAGTTTTTTTTTTTTTAAGAGCAGTGGTTCTCCTCTAGGGGCAATTTTTGGCATTGTCGAAGACTGGTGGGGTTGTTACAGACATCTGTTTATGATAAAGGCCAAGTCTGCTGCCCTCTCAACCAAAATTTATGTTTCCCCAAATGTCATTACTGCGTAGGTTGGTTAACCTGGTTTAGATCCATGCTGACATATAAGAACATCCTTTCTCTTTGCAAGTATCCTATGTTTTAAAATCTATTTTGTGTTAGTTTAAATGTATATCATATTTTGATTTATAACTACTTCATATAGTTGTATAAAATCTTATCCACAAAGCTGCTTTTGTCTTTTTTTTTTTTGCTTTTCTATTTTGTTGTTTTTCTTAATTCTTTCATTTCCTCAGTTTGACTTTGAAGTTCCTGTATGATTGATTTCTTTATAGTTTCTTAGAAATATTTCTGAGGTGCCATGATATTTCTTAGCAGTTTAAAAATCTGTTTTAGAGGAAATGTTTACTCAAGTAAAGCAGTAATATAGATGGCAGATGAATATACTCTTTAGCTTTAGATGAAAACTTTAACATTTTTTTTTAATTAATCTTTGAAATTTTGTGTAGAAATGATTCATCTGATAGCATTTTATATACTTAAAATAAATCTCATATCTATGTAGAAATATGTTGTTTACTATGTAAAACTTAATTTTTTAAAAAGTTCATTTTGTATATGAAATAATAACATCTATCTATATTCTTTATGTAGTATATTTTATTTGTTGTATGTTAGACTGTATGGTTGACTCTGTCAGTTCTTATTAGAGCATAAGTGGGAAGGTTACCCTAAACTGTAGGATTTATTGGTTATTCATCATTTTCATTTTTTCTTTTCTTTTTTTTTTTTTTTTCAGTTTTAAGGGGCAAAAAGTGGCTTAACTGATTATACTGGGTAGTATCCCTTTTTTTTTTTTTTTTTTTTTTTTTTGCAGTTTTTGGCCGGGGCTGGGTTTGCACCCACTACCTCTGGTATATGGGGCCAGCGCCCCACTCGTTTGAGCCACAGGCGCCACCCAGTAGTATCCTTTTTTATCTGCAAGAAGGCAATATAAAGGCATTTTTGACAAACTTTTCATTTGAAAATGATTGGATAAATTAAAACTACCGTATCCTCATAATCTAGTTTGTTGTCAGGTACTTTGTAGGCAACCAGTAAATATTTGTTAAATGAATGAAAATGAATTTCTTTTAATTTTTGTCCTGAGCGTTAAGTGAAAATAAGCCATTTGCTTTATGTTATGTTTAGATGTTGAGAATCTTAGGATCTTACTGCTAAAAAAGGCCTTCAAGATCTAGTCCAGGTTCTGTAGCAGTGCCTCCTGGGCCATCTCTGGAAGAGGAGGTTGGACAGTAGCAAGAGAAGGCCTCAGAGAGTAGAAACAGTTCATCCTGCTTCCCTCATTCCCTTCCAGATACCCCTTAGTGGGCAGTTCAGCTCTTAAAAAGAAAACGAAAACACAACAACAAGATAAAAGCAAACCTGTAGGTAGAAAACCATTCATTCTATTCAGTGTTGTATTTTATGCACATAGATAAGGATAATGAAGTCCAGAGAGGGTCAGTGAAATATGTTAATGGTAGTGTTGGAACTATGGTCTAGGCCATTTCCAAAGAATAAAGCTAATTTTATGCAGTAGCTATTTGATACTCAACTGGAAAGTAAATTTTTTATTATATAATTTCTCATATTTCTGTTGCTTGCAGTCTTCCATTTTGAAGGTTAATAGCTGCTGCCCCATGTTTGAAAGTATGATGTATGAGTTTTTAAGTATCATTTTTGTCTCAAACTGGTCAATAATTAGGTGTCGGTTTGAGTCACTTAAAAATTTTTGCTGTCATGTAGCATTTCATTTGCATTAGTCCATTAATACTTTTGAAAAGAGCAGTCAAGATGATGTATTACCTGCTGCCTTGAATAAATATATAATCTTTATTTTGGAACACTTTATTAATCTAGGTGCTGCATATTTAGGGGCTAGTGTTTAAAGCAAACAAAGAAACAAAATAAAACTAAAAATTGTTTTTCTAAGCTAAATGAAATAGAATAGTTAAAATATTTCATCATGGCTACTGAGATCATTTTAATAATTATACTTTTATGTTGCAATTGTGGTATTATATAGAAACCATATTTTTAAAAAATGCAAAGATAATTTTATGGCATCTTGTTTAAGAATCATCCATGTGGCTCATTTCTCTGGTAGGTTAAAAAATATATATATATTTTAAAGAAACCCTCACCTCCACCCACCCCACCCCCCAATCTACGTAATACCTAGTATCTGTTTCCTCTAAGATGCACTTTTTATTGTTCAGGCTTTAACTTCTTTGTTAGAGGCACTCCTTAGAAGTCTGATAATTCTGTTTGTTATTAAGAACTCTGAGTATGTTGATAGAGCTTGTAGATTCTGAACTTTAATGTAGAAACCTTTATTTTAGTCTCGTTAGATCTTTTCTTTGGGTCAGATTGTTCAGAGAAGTATCTTCAGATACTGCCCAGGAGGTAATGGTCTAGCTGCCATTATTCTGTGAACTGAACAGGAGGCAGGGCCTTACAGTCTCTGAATCAGATGTGCATATGATGATTTTAATCTCCTATCCTCATACCCTTAATTATACTTGCTGTTTTATCCTCTCCAGAGATGAGTCCTGCAGCTAGAATTCTGTTACAGCTATAGAGAGGTAGTTTTCATCAAATCCTTATTGTAGGTACCTTCCTCCCTATCTCCAGTTATAAGGGTACCAGGTGGAGTCACTTCCTTTTCTCATTTTTTTTTTATTAAATCATAGCTGTGTACATTAATGCAATCATGGAGCAGAGTGTTTTACACATAATCTGAAATGCTTTCATCAAACTGGTTAACATAGCCTTCACGGCATTTTTGTAGTTATTGTGTTAAGACATTTATATTCTGCACCTAGTAAATTTCACATGGACCCTTGTAAGATACACTGTAGGTGGGGTCTCACCAACTACTCCCCCTCCACTCATCCTCTCCCCTCTCCTTCCCTCCTTCTCCCCTTCTTCTTGGGCTATAATTGGTTTCTTTTCCCATTTTTTAACTGGACTTTTTAAAAAATTAATTATTTTTAGAGACAGAGTCTCACATTATTGCCTTCTGTAGAGTGCTGGGGTGTCACACAGCTCACAGCAACCTCCAACTCCTGGGCTTAGGCGATTCTCTTGCCTCAGCCTCTCATTAACTGGACTTTTTATAACTGAGTTTTAAGAACTCTGTGTATTCTGAATACTAAACTTCTCAGATATGTGATTTGAAAATGTCTTTTACCATTCTGTGGGTTGTCTTTTTACCTATTGAGAATGTCCTTTGAATCACAAATGTTTAAATTTTTGATTAATTCCATTTTTTTGGTGGTTGTTGTATGTACTCTTGGTGTCATATCTC